CCAGAATGTAATCAAGCTTTTCAAGAGATGAAATCTCTCCTTGCACATGATGCTATCAACACGTTTGCTGATTTGAATGAGCCTTTCCACATTTACACCGACGCTTCKGATTATCAGCTCGGAGCTGCAATCCTTCAACAGGCAAGACSTGCAGTTCTGGAGCTACACACAAAATCCGATGATGTCCTCGTGTATCAGAATTTGGGAGCCCACTAAAACAGAAATACAGAACCTGGTGGCACCACCCATCTCTCGTGACTTAAGGTACTCCCAAGCTACTATGAGAAGTTCAATAGAAAGGAAAAGGAGCTTAGTACATTGCAACACTTTGACCCTAGTAGTACTGGTGCAGGACAACAGGGTTCCAGGGAGTTTGGTCACAATGATCAAACAAAGATCTAGTAAAGAAGATGAGAACACAGTCAGCCAGCAGCAGGCTTATGGATTCTTGGTTGACCCTACAAACCCTCCAAAAAACAAAGAAGACCAAAATCACTTCAACCCTACTGCAAGACAAAAAGGTTCCAGGGAGTTATGTGGGGCTGATCAAACTCAGATCAGTAGTACTACTTCTACAGGATAAGATGGCCTAAACCCTCTGCCAAAATAGGGGGGCGGATGAAAAACAACAAGCTACATGAATGTTGTTCACTGCTATTTGAGGGTGAAATTGCATATGTGGGAATGAATATGATTTCAATCAAATATATTGGTGGCAGATTTCAAGAAATGATCTGTTAGAAATCATTGGGTTTGTGGATTTTAAGAAACGATGCAATAGAAATTGTCAGGTGGGTAGATTTGTTGGTAGATTTTGAGTAATAAACAATGCATAAATGAATGATGGTGGTAGCTTTCAAGAAAATAGGAAAATAGGTCAGTAGATTTTGAGTAAAGAAGACAACAAATGAGTCAGGTGATATATTGTTTCAAGAAATGATCTGATTAAAAATGTGAGGATACCTAGCAATGAGGTGTTCCTGTTGAATGGGAGTACTATAAAAATCTATGCAATCTAAAATAGTGGTAGTTCCCAAGAAAAGATGTTGAAATAGCACATGCCATTTGGAGTCAGAAGTTTAAAATGATTTCAAATGAATAGGAGGGGAAGTTAATTGGTGGTAGATTTTCAGTAAAGTGAGTTGTTTTTAATGTGTGAGTGATATAACCTGTGGGAGTGACTGTCCTAAAAGTGATGTAAAGTGTGTGCTAGTAGAAAAGTGAGTCAATGATCTTATCAGGGATTGACGAACTTTGAAATCTAGAATGGATCGCTGTGAGGATTGAGTGATGTGTGAATCGAATGAGTCAAGTCACTCACGCAAGTGAATGAAATGAGTCATGTCAATAATATGAATCCAGTGGGATCGCATGAGTCATATATGTATGGTGTGTATGAATCGTAGATACTTATTGTATGTACGTGTCGTATGTATAAATCATACCCACAGTCTGATATCCTACAGACAACATTTAAAGCTGTCTGTAGATTTCCAGTAATTTAAAAAACAGTAGGTTTCCAGTAATATTTCCATTCCATCCTCAGTGTCAAAAAGGGTTTCACCTGAGAATTTATTTTACTTCATTTTTTCTGCATATTGCTGGAAAATGCTAGCAGTAATAGTACTATCTAACCTTCAGTTATGTCAGAATAATTTTCAAGTCATTTTACAGCCCTCAGTTGTTATGATATGGTGTAACACAATCACCCTGTGCATCCATGAGCTTCATTCTCCTACTACTAACAAAGGCATACATACCATCACTTTTCTATCACTCTTCCATAGTAGTACTAGTTCTACCACAAGCAGCAGTAGTAGTAGTACATGACCTAATATCATCTTTTTGTGCTGGATGAAGAAAGATTGTTCTTGGTACTACTAGTACTATTAGCAGTACTAGTACTATCACAAACAGCACTGCTGACAAAGCTGTCATTTTAGTATGAGATGGCAGGTCACCACCTTATTTCATCACCATACTGAACACTCCCTTCTTATTCATCGGTTTTCTTGCATTGACAGGAGTGCTGAGGACGACGAGGAGGATGCTTTTCTCTGATATCTTTGTATGGAATGTTTTACTAGTACTACTAGGTAAAGAGAGTGCATGTACTCCTTGCTTCTTCTTGCTGGTGCCCACCCTCTTTGTTGGGTGGGACAATGTTGAGCTTTCTTTTCATTTGACTGGTGAAACAAGTACCATTACTCCAGCCATTCTGAAGAGTCTTTGCCTGTAAAATACTAGTATGCACCACCAAATTGATTGTAGATTCCCTATCTTGCACTCGTGGTGTTAGTATATCCTAGCAGTCACCTTCATAATTAGTAGCTGACTTGATTCTTTTAAGAATATCAGGATGATCTTTGATACCGTCAATTAATGTGCAAAAAAGAATTCCAGAAGGTGGAAGTCTTGCCTAGTGGTAGTATTTCAGCAAGAAGTTCGCACACCTAAATCTTATCGTGAGGAGAAACAGTTGTCGATGAAGAGAAGAAGGGGAACGGGTCGTCGTGTGTGAACCTCGTCGCCAACTATTTCATGCTATCTCAATAGAAAATTCTACGATTTTGACAAAGTGTAAATCATAGAGGTGGATTACAGCAACCATATTCTATGCGACCTTTGGTTACCATCTTCGAGACAAAAGAGTTATGGTAAAAAGATGTAAAGAAGTCAGCGGCTTCCCTTTTAATCTATCCATCTAAAAGTTATGATACTAGCTTAGATCTCGGCACCATCGGCCTGCTTTTGGAGGTAGTCCAAAAGAACCGAAAGGGCACGGGTCTCCTCACCGAAATCGGTGATGACGGCGCAAGACGTGCGGACGGCCTTCTTGATGGAGCCATCGTCATCGAGCTTGGCGAGTCCGCACCATGCTCCGAGATCCTTTCCGGACTCGACCATAACAACGTGGACCTCTCCCTCGGAGCACAAACCCTTGATGAGTTTCTTGTACTCGTCGTTCTCGCAGTCCTTGGCGAGGCAACAGAGACGAGCGGTGCGACGGTCGAGGGCCTTAGCACACTCATGGAGTCCCTTCTTGAGTCCTCCGTGGATCATGGCCTTTTCCAAAACCTGTGTTTTTGTTGTTTTCGGTTTGATTCGATTAAAAATTACGGCAAACGATTGATTGTAGCGTGGCGCAAAATAAAATGCGTATGTGTGAGTCGACATGTCCGTGACAAACAAAACTGTGTGTTTTATCACATCCTCCATGTTTTCTCTCTTCCAGTCAATTCGATTCTTCCTTCGGGTGCCTAACTAGTCAGTGTCGAGTAGCCGTTGATTCCAAACCCATATGGCTCTTTCGATAATAGACTTGTTTGCTCCGCTGAAGATAGCTTCCAAACTGGAAGTGAAGAAAATTTGGAGGATTGATATCCACCGATCCTGCATCACGTAATTGTTCTCCTCTCAATTTCCTGTGTGGTTACGTACCTCACGGAGAGCGTCCAAGACACTCATCTCGGCGACTTCCTCGACGGCGGGGGCTTCTTCAGTATCAGACATGGTATTAGTTGGGTATTGAAAAATTGATAAAAGAGTTGACTCTCGCACTACAATGAGATTGTATATTCTATTCAGAGTCACCGTAGGGTCCTCGAAGTGAGCACATCGGAGGGAAAACAACAAGCGAAAAGGACTCGCAACCCGCACGATAGTTGCGGCTTGAAATAAAAATTTGTTTTCCATTTTTCGAGGAGATCAGAGCGCAGGAAACACAATGGATTGGGTTATGAGTCCGTGATAAAAAGTAGGGCGGTAACGAGTAGAAGAGTTGGCGACCCCGACCAACCAGGTCGTGAGTGAATATTTTTGTGAATCGTAACTCGTATCCTGGAACCATGTCGATTTCAACTTTTGAGAAATAAATAGATTCCCAGGTCCCCCTACTGGGGAAAAAAATTGTGATTAAAAAAAAACCAAATTTGTGATACCGTAGGTAAATTGTGATCAATAAATCTTGATCGCAAATTTTGTCAGTCTGCGTAGAATTACTACTAGTCCTGGTATTTTATTCAATCTACATATCTCAGTAATACTAGTATACCTAGTTGTAGAAGTACTAGTAACATTCTTAGTAGTACTAGTAGTAGTAGTAGTAGTAGTAGTAGCATCAGCAGTCCTCCTGCTGGTGCTGTATTGCTGGTGGTCCTACTACTAACAAAAAAATTTGGTTTTAGGCATATGATATTACCATTTTATTAGTAGTGCGGGGATCACTTGTTGTTACCACATTCACAATATTCAGCATATGAATAAATCAATATTTATATGATTCCGTTGAAAAAGAAGGTGACGATGAAACCCAATCACAAAAATTGTGATCAAGAAATTCAACAATTTTGTGATCAGATCTGATCACATTTTTTTGTGATCAAAACTGACAACATAATTAAAAAAGGGGGACCAAAGAATTCAAAGTTTCCTGAAAAAATCAAAATTGACATGGTTCATGTGCACATGAGAAAATAAAATTTGTCATAGGGTAATTCCCATTAATCTAGATTGACTAGATTTGATAGACTGACAGACAAAAAAGGGTGTCTAGATTGACTACTAAATCTAGTCATATTTGAATGATCCTCACACCCCCATCCAAAACTGACTAGATTTAGACTGGAATCCACTGATTAAACAAAAAACTTGAGTTGGGCATGTTTTTCTCTGTATAAAGTACTACAACGTAACTATTTAAGATTCCAAACTGCTCCCTAAAAACGGGCATGATTCAGTCCCTTTTTCATTCCTCTAAATTGATTTAGTAGTCAATTTAGACATTGAGTCAATCTAGATCAACAGGAATCACCATTATTTGATATTTTTATTTCTTAGCATGAGAAACCTGTAGTCAGTGACTGCACCCATTACTATAATTGCTAAATTTGATAGAATAAAAAAGAAATCAATTCTTACTCGTAGTGATCAGTTATTCTGTAATCAAAGAGAATCATTTCCCCCTAAGGCTTGAATGTTCAGTCACTGTTGTCATCATCACTAGTTGTTCCAAAACTTAAGCGAACCTTATTCCTCCACAGAATTGAAGAATGATCAGTTATAATCATGACCACCACCAGTCATTCTGAAATTAAATGGAACCAATCCTCCCACTCCCAATCCTACCTGAATATTCAGTCAGGACCATTACTAGTACTAGTCTATCACCAATTCAATTGGTCATTCTAAAATTCAAGATAACCAAAATCTTCCAAAGACTTGAAAAAATGGATCAGAATCAGCCATTCATTCCAAATTTAAAGGTAACCTACTTCCTCCCAAGACTCAAAAATATTCAGCAGTTTAGTTTACTACAGACAGATAAAAATACAGCAATAAGCTACAATTGGCCTCATCATTGTTGTCATAGATTCAAGTGTTGCCTCTCAATTGCACTTCACACCCCAGGCTCAGCAGGTACCACCACTTGTTCCTCTGCAGATGACAAAAAAATATGATGAAAGCAAACAAGCTACCGAGAAGTGTTCTGTATCAAATTCTACATATGTTTTCATGTTGTCATTAAAGAGTTCAATTATGTGGAAAGCAAATGTACAATATTTGTATATTTTGGGCCCTTATTTTTCCGTGTAATGACTACTTTGACTAAAAAACTAAATGCATAGTACTTGTAGTGCTGAATTTTTAAATCCCACATCTGTGCGACCAACTAGTTTTGGACACGTGCTGTTTGTATTTGCTTGCATGTGCCCTGTAGCCCTAGTAGAAGTTAATGTTTAATCCCAGGTGTCATTACACAATAAAAAGATAGCCAGAAATTGACGCACAGTTGAAAAGCATGTAGAATGTTAACTAAGGGTCAACTCACTTGAACAGCTATAACTTGGTCCCCAACAGACGCTTCAACATGATAAGTACATGAATCAAATCCCAGTAAAAAGACAAATTCAGTGATATGGGGGGTTATCGTATAGCGTGGGCCAAGCAAAAAAGCACGGTATAAACCGTACATTAGCAATTAAAGATATACGTAAACGTATATCAGTCAATATTCCTCGTACGCCGTACTCCCCCACGCCATTAGAAAGCTCTTTCAATTCTCTTTTCAACCATGTGCTTATTGTCTTTCTGCGACCGTTGAGGAAAAAGTTACAGCCCCAACTGTCTGTTCAAGACTGAAACAGTTATACGGTTAAATTATAMGTGTGCGTGGATTACCTGCCATCTAATTACCGTGTAAAGACTACTTTGACTCAACGGATTTCAGTCCCACAACAGACAAAGTTGCTCACAAAATTAGGCCACTAATCGTGTGAACTCATATCTTGGCAATTACACTCCTTGATACATTTGTTCTGTTTCCGGTTTATCAGAAGGAACYGTGTCGGAAGCATTTCGCCGTGCTTTTAACACTGTGTATCGATCCCATTTCTTTCTCTTAAAATCGATCGAGAACAAAACACTCTGTGACTGAGACTACCCCTGCCAAGTATGGAGGATACTGCAAAAAGCAAGCAAAAACTGCATAATAAGCAAAACAAGCAACAGCAGAACAAGCAAGATGAGCAACTCAAAACGCCGGATTTCCTAGTCGAAAATCTCCATAACAATGTATATCGACGCTACCCTGCAAGCTCCCCAGACTCAGTCCCTCCACGACGCACTGGAGCAGTATTATTTGGCTGTCTTCATCCAAAGCAAAGAGTTAAATTGAACAGGAGGAGAGCAAAAACAAAGAAGGCAAGACACCAAGCCCGGATGCTTGTTTACAAAGGACMCAAAGCCTGTGCGTATAAGCACTGGATGCCGCAGCGGAAGCTCGCGATTGTAAAGGGCAACATGGAGATGAAGTGGTATTCAGCAGCAAAGGCAAGGGAAGCAGCACAGTTGATTAAGGACATTGATCCAGGGATTGGATGGAAGATCCAAATAGTTATGGATACTTCAGTCAATCCCCCTGAACCTCCCRAGCCCCCGCCACCAGAAATAATCGACAATACATCCCCGAAAGTACGGTTTATAATGAATCAAGACTGGAAGTGGGTGGAGGATTGGGAATGGGACCAAAAGCCAACACCATACAACAAAGAGCTGAATGAGACCTGTGCTGGTTGTCTGAAGAAGACCTGCCTAAAGAAGAAAGATCTGGCAAAGGCAATTGAGTTAGCTCGATTTGCAAAGCCTCTCTTGCCTCCGACAATGAGTGTTGGTGACAAGCACGAGTGGTTCTTAGAGATATACAGGTCTGTTATGAAGAGGGAAAAGAATGTAACCCCCTGCATTCAGTGTGCTAAAGAATTTTGCTTTGATGAGTGGGGACATCCCATGTATGATCAAAGGAGCTTATCCTTTGATTCAGCTGACTATGAGGAGATGAATCGTGAGAACCAAGAGGAGGAGGAGAGGGATCGGGAGAACCAGCAACCCAATCAGCAACCAAATCAGCAACCAAATAAGCAACTGAATAAGCAACCGAATAAGCAACCGAATCAGCAAACAAATCAGCAACCGAATCAGGAACTGAATGAGTGTACCATTTATATTTAACTGCTACAAATAAGGAACCAAATGAGCAACCGAATGAGCAACCGAATAAGGAACCAAATGAGCAACCAAACAAGCTGATACGAATGAGCTGATATGAATGAGCTGATACGAATAAGCAACCAAATGAGCAACCGAATGAGCTGATACGAATAAGGAACCAAGAAATGAGCAACCGAATGAGTGAGCAACCGAATAAGCTGATACGAATGAGCTGATACGAATAAGGAACCGAATAAGCTGATACGAATAAGCTGATACGAAACTAGTATTTCATTTATTACACTGATTCTAATGATCCAACCA